TTTTTATATAAAAGAGAGAGTGCACTATAAACACTACTGAGGTGTGTTTCTCAAACTAAAAAGTGATAGTTTAGGTATGAAACTCACACTTTCAATAGTTTAGATATAAAACTCAAAAAAAAAGTGAATAGTTTAGGTGTGTTTTTGACACTTATCTCTCAATTTAAATCAAATTCTTGGAACTATTCAATACTAAATCTTAATTCACCCACATATATATAAAGGTTACTCTATTTTCTTGAAAAGACATTTCAAATATTTCACATATTCATGAAATATTCATAGTAAATCCAATTCAAATTATCCTAGTTTGAGAAATACACCACAATGACCTTTGGATCATGGATAAATCTTATGAGAGAAGAATCAAATGAGGAACAAATTTATACACACAATCCTGATGAATAAAATTATGTTTCATCATATTTTTTTCATCATATTTTAATTATAATTATAATTTATTTTTCGATTACTTTAAAATTGTTACGAATAGATTTAGCGTGTATGTGCAACTTGGTATGGTTGGACGAATGAGATATTTGTAACCATAATCAGATTTTGGTTTAAATTATAAAAATGAAAAGTTCCTGTTATACATGAAAACTTAGGAATTTTCTTTTCATGAATCCTATGCAATATAGAACTAGAGATAAAAATTGCTTATATTATATTATTCATGTACTCATTTTGGTGAAATTATATGATTTTTATATATATGTGTGTTAATTTATGTAATTTAAAGTTTCATTTTATTTTTGTGAAGATTAAAATGTTTGAAATTTAAATACATATTTAAATATTAAGATGTGTGTTAAATATAAAGATATGAAATCAAAAACATATTTAATAAAAAGTACTAAGATTTCAAGTTTAGAACCTTCAATTTACAACAATAAGAGATTGATCATGTGGGTCGAATTCATCGCACAAAGTTGACTTAGGCAAGGTATTGACAAGAATGAGATTTATACGCAGAACAACGATTATAAATTTTTTTATCATAAACTAAAAAACACCTAATAAAATATGATAAAATAAATTGATTGATGTGATAATTAGTATAAAATTTCACATCATTTTAACGAGTTCGGAGCCTAAAGAGTATAAAATGTTAAAAAAATTTAAAACGGTATATGAAATTTTATATTAACCAAAACGACAAAATCACTGGAATAGCAGCGATTTTCTCCATCGGAAAAATCAAAATCGCTGCTATAGGAGAGATTTGCAAAATGTGATTTTCTTTTTTTAAAAAAAAATTCTGCCTAGGCAGCGATTTTGTTGCTAATTTTTTTTTTAATTATTTTTTGAATGGCAACGATTTTAAATGCTTTTTTAGTAAAACGTTTCAGTTAGAACGATTTACTCTTTTTATAATTTTTTTCTTTTAAATTTAGTTAAATTTCCAATATCATTATCTTTTTTTAATTAAATTAAATCGCTGCACATGCAGCGATTTTACCCTTTTTTTAATGAAATTGCTGCATCCAATTTTATTTTTTTAAAAAAAAGTTTAATTAAATCGCTGCAATGCAGCGATTTCCATAATTTTTGTTCTTTTTTTAATTTTTATTTTTAAAATTGCTCATAAAAATAATCCTTCTAAATATTTTGTAGTAAAATTTTTGCAATTTTTTTTTCCTGATTTTCTCCAAAAAAATTTAATCTAATTACTTTTTTTAATGGTAGCAAATCCTGCCTACTTTAATTCTTTTAAATGGTGGTAAATCGCTGCTTTTGTAGCGATTTTACTTAAATTATTATATTTTTTTAAATATTACATCGCGTCTGCTATAGCAATTTTAGTTCTTTTTTTTAAAAATATTTTTAAATATTGCTTTTCACGTGGCGATATTTAAAAATATTAAAAAAAGAACTAAAATCGCTATAGTAGCAACGATTTAATTTTTTTTAAAAATATAATAATTTAAGTAAAATCGCTACAAAGACACCGATTTACTATCATTAAAAAGAATTAAAGTAGGCAGGATTTACTACCATTAAAGAAATTAAATAGATTAAAAAAATTGGAGAATATCAAAAAAAAATTACAAAAATTTTACCACACAAAAATAAGCAGGATTATTTTTATGAGCGATTTTACAAATAAAAATTAAAAAAATAAAAAAATTATGAAAATCGCTTCCAATGCAGCGATTCAATTAATTTATTTTTTAAAAAAAATAAAAAAATCACTGCTAGTGCAACGATTTTATTAAATTTTTAAAAAAGTGTAAAATCCCCATCATACCATCATCTATTATAATTCGATAGTGAACCGCCACTATATCAATCACTCCACTTAATTAGAGCAAGCAACATCATAAATATCATTAAAAGTTACTAACTACCATATTAAAATTCATATATAACATGTGTATGCAAAGAATAGTCACTGTCTTTATCTCAACATCGACAATTAGTTCATTAGTTGGCACCGCTCGTAATGATAAAATTTTTTATACGTTTCTTAAAAAATTATAAAAAAAAAAACAAACTGTTAGAGTAAAATAAATTCAATATAGAAATTAGAAAGCATAGGCACATGCCTAAAGGTTCAATCATACGTAATAAATTTAATATTTTAAAAGAAAAATAAGTATCCTCAATTTATCCCAAAATTTCAAGACATAGTTCTATATATTTATGTCTTATTACTCCTTGATTTTATTTTATAAATAATTCTTTATCCATTTTCGGCCTACGTTGCATTATCTTGTGGGTTCAGTGAGTGTTGATATTTTTTTTCAAGCTAGTATCACGTTGGCCGAAAAGAGGTAGAAAATTTCTTTAAAAAAAGTTCAGAGGGTAATAAGACCTTAGTATAGTATAAATCTGTCTCTGGAATTTTGGGCATAGGTTATAGAATACTTATGCATTTTCTCTATTTTAAAAGATATATTAAAAGGTGGTTATCAACGATAACAAAAATAATTTAAGAAATAAGAGATAATTTTTTATTTTTGAAATTAGACAAATAAAATGAATGTTTATAATTAATATTATCAATAAGTAAAAGTGGACGAGGAAATACTCGTAAAGAGGTTATTTGGCTAAAATAGAAGTGTTTGACCATAAATTCAAATATTTTTATTTTATTTTAAATTTATAAGATTAGAGTCGAACATATTAATATTTTCTAAATATAAAATATTTAAATAATATTTATATTTGTACTTATATAAGTTCTCCACTTCGTAATTCAAAATTGTTATATAAAGTTTTTGAATTTAATTGATATATATTAGTACTCCTTTAGTCTATCTATTAACTATATATTTATAAAGACTTTTTTATGATTCAAAATAAGTAGAATAATCTCTTTTTTTAAAATTAAATTTTTTCTTCATAAGTATTCCTTTTTATTAAATGAGGTGCGTAACTGTTTTATATTTTTTAAAAGAATAATTTAAATTTTTTTTTATAGAAACAATACGATATCATCATATCATTATAAATTTTATATTTTTGGATTTTTTTTATAGAAACAATACGATATCATCATATCATTATAAATTTTATATTTTTGATGTATAGCTAAAAAATGATACTCATTCATGAACCTTTTTCTAGAAAATAATTCACCACCACGAGTTCCAAGTCTGTCATATAAACTAAAAATAAGTCATGTTTTCCAAATTTTAATTTATAATATTCTAATTTAATGTAACAAATTTAATCAAACTAAGCTTTGGTAGAAAAAAATTACAAAATAAAAAATATATTTAATTAATATCATACAAATCAAAATACCTTTTTATCTAATATTTGATCATAGATTTTTAAATATTCTTGGCAAATATTATTTGACTGAAATTTCACCATGTGTTTGGTCATAACATTTGAGAAATATATTTCACTTTTTTAGAAAAATATGATTTATACCCATAAGTTTTAAAAATATCAAAACTAACCATAAGTTTGTATTATAAGTCAATTGGATCTTTGTTACAACGATAACAAATAGTATCCATGACACTAGAGCAATGTGATAATTTTGAGTGATTGCGACAATCATCATTTCATATATTGTGAAGTAGACAAAACACGTGACTTTGTTATCTTGAGCCGATTATTCATCAATTTCATCAATAATCATATTATCATTTCATATATACCGAATATTTCATCACTATTTTGGAATTAATGTAAAAATTATGTAATACAACATAAGCAACAACTATTGAGGGTGTTTTTATAAAAAAAAAATTTAAATAAACTTTCAATTTTTAAAAAAACTCAAATATTGAGATTTGATCTAAATTCTAGAAAAAACTAGTGTTTGAGAATTTGAGATATTTGCCAAAATTATTTACTAAATAATAACAATGTGTATAGATAAACACTATTTGCTACGTTTTTTCTCAAATATTATTTGGGAAATTACGACCAAACAGACCCTTAATTTACAAGTTGACATTTATTGCACATGACGCTCACGTGGATCCTTCTCTGTTCCGACACTTCGTGTCCCCACTCCCAGCAACTCAGTAGTTTGTTAGAATGGTTATTATCCGTTTAAATATAATAATATAATGTTTATATTGTTAAATAAAAATTATGTTTATTTTATTTTATATAATGATAAATTTAATTCGATTATATTATTACTCTTGAACCCATTGTTTGTTCTAGGTTTGTATATGAAATAAAAAAGAAGTATTGAAAATATTTTTAAATTTAGTATAAATTATTAATTTTATTTTTGAATTATTGATATTTTTAAAAATATTCACATATTTGATTAACTAAACATAAATATATTTTTGATTTTATAACATGAGTAAAATATACTCTTAAATTCTTTTTAAACTTAGAAATATTTTTAATATTTCTCTCACTTTTTATTAAGAGTTTGAAATCACGAAATATGTTATGTGATAGTTCGAGATGTATTTTACTTTCATTACTTAAGAAGATGATTATTTTAAAGATTGTCAATAGTTTAAAAGCATGAAATAAATAATTTACGTAGATTCGAGATATTTTCAATACACCAGACAAAGTAAGGTATGATCAAATGGTTCATCCCACTTCTCTTCAATGAAAAATTGCACTGTTTATATCATACATATTAACCTCCGTTTAATTCATTACTTTCTTCGTTCATGTTTGCTGTTTCACACTCGAAATTTGAAAAATGTCACGTAAATTGAGATACGAAGAGTCGGAATAGTAATATGTAACCAGCATCCAAACAGAGTGTAGACACAGCTCACTCACCCAGAAATTCTGCAATTTTGTCACTGAGAAAAACACCAAAATCGTCCATCTCTCATTCACTCATCAACAAGCTTTTTTCTTCTTCTTCTTCAATGGCTACTTTAGCTAGACCCACCATCATCAATGACCTTCCTGATGTGATCCTTTCTAACATTATCGCCGCCGTCTCCGACGTTCGCAGCCGGAACACCGCCGCACTTGTCTGCCGGAAATGGCTCGTCCTTGAACGAGCCACGAGAACTTCCCTCACTCTCCGTGGTAACATCCGTGACCTTTTCATGTTACCCACTTGCTTCCGATCTGTTACCCATCTCGACCTCTCACTCGTTTCTCCTTGGGGACATCCCCTCCTATCTCCACGCGCCACCGCCTCCAGCGACGATGCTGATTCCGTCCTCATCGCACACCTCCTCCGCCACGCTTTTCCTATAGTTACTTCGCTCATTGTCTACGCACGTAACCCACATACCCTCCAGTTTTTGCCAGTTCAGTGGCCTCAACTTAAGTATATTAAGCTTGTTCGTTGGCATCAGAGGCCTCAATTAGCTAGTGGGGATGAATTCAACTTGCTGTTTCAAGGATGCCCGCAATTGGGTTCGCTTGATTTATCTACTTTTTACTGTTGGACTGATGATATTCCTCCCGCTCTTGAATTGAATCCTCTTGTAGCTGGTAATCTAACAGTGTTCAATCTGATGAATGCTTCGTTTTCGGAAGGTTTTAAGACGGATGAGATAAGAGTAATAACGAAATGTTGTCCTAATTTGAAAGAGTTGAAAATTGCTTGTATGTTTGATCCTATGTACATTGGGTTTGTTGGGGATGAAGCTTTGGTTTGTATATCTATCAATTGCCCCAAATTAACAGTGCTTCATTTAGCGGATACGTCTACTTTGTCTAATTGCAGGGCTGATCCAGATGATGAGGGGTTTACGACTGACGATGCGAAATTTACTGTTTCAACTTTGATTGAGGTATTTTCGGGTCTTTCCTTACTTGAAGAGCTTGTATTAGATGTTTGTAATAATGTTAGAGATAGTGGTCCTGCTCTGGAAATACTGAACACAAAATGTCCCAAGTTGAGATCTTTGAAGTTGGGGCAATTTCATGGCGTTTCTATGCCAATCGGGTCGAAGTTGGATGGAGTTGCGCTTTGTCAGGGGCTTAAATCGTTGTCGATTAGAAATGTAGGTGATTTGGATGATATGGGGTTGATAGCAATTGGTAGAGGGTGTTCAAGATTAACAAAGTTTGAGATTCAAAGTTGTAAGAAGATCACGATGAGAGGAATGAGGACGCTAGCTTCTTTGCTTTGGAAAAGTCTGGTTGATGTCAGGATATCTTGCTGCAAGAATCTTGGAGCCTCTTCTTCGTTGAAAGCATTGGAACCAATACAAGAACGTATCCAGAGGCTTCATATTGATTGTGTGTGGGATAGTGTTGAAGAAATTGAAAATCTTAATGGTGTTGAATACGGATTTGATCTCAATAAGACCAATGGAGGCGAGGCATCAACTCATCCTAATGGATCTGGGGACACATTTGGATCCATGGATGATGATATCGTGTTTAACAGGAATAAACGATGCAAGTATGGTTATGATCTTAATAGTGTTTGCATGGAAGACAATGGCCATGGGAATGGTTTTGGTGGACGGACATGGGACCGGCTGCAATACCTCTCACTTTGGATTGGTGTCGGTGATCTTTTAACTCCTTTAGCAGCTGCAGGTCTTGAACATTGTCCTAACTTGGAGGAGATCAAGATTAGAGTGGAAGGAGATTGCAGGCTATGGTCAAAACCTTCAGAGAGGGCATTTGGATTGAGCACCCTTTTGCGGTACCATAAACTTGTGAAGATGCATTTGGATTGTGGAGATATCATAGGTTACGCACACACTGCCCCGTCGGGGCAGATGGATTTGAGCTTATGGGAACGGTTTTATCTCTTTGGTATTGGAACTTTGAATCTCAGGGAGCTTGATTACTGGCCACCACAAGATAGAGATGTTAATCAAAGGAGTCTATCCCTCCCAGCAGCTGGGCTGCTCCAAGAATGCATCACACTCAGAAAGTTGTTCATCCATGGAACGGCACATGAACATTTCATGATGTTCCTGCTTAGAATCCCAAACCTACGAGATGTACAGCTGAGAGAAGATTACTATCCGGCACCAGAGAATGACATGAGTACTGAAATGAGGTCAGACTCCTTGAGCCGCTTTGAAGCGGCTCTAAACAGACGACAAATTTGTGATTGATGCAAGGAACATATTACATTGTTCAATTTCCATTGTCTAAGGTTTTATTCCTGATTCATTCAAGGAACAGGTACTGTTATGCAACTTCCCTATATGCCCCTGTTGTCATAGATTATATTCCTGCAATAGTATTGTTGTCATATTTAATATCCAGATCTTCTGTATAGTTTTACACATCAGTTAAATTACGCATTTTGAATAAAAAATATGATCAACTTTGGGTGTAATTTGAGTGAAAATGGATGTCTGAACTCTACTTTTGATCCGCAAAGGATGAGCATTTTTGTATTATGCTTCTAATACTGTGTGTCTCTGAAATGAAAGAGATTTCACCAGTAGAGTGAGTGTTCAGTCTTGCTGTCGTGTGAACGTCTTTCATTCAGCTTGGTTCAGCAGTCTGCATAAAAAAAGATAACGACGGAACACAGGAGGTCTACATAGGCCTCTGGTATCAACATCTACAATTGATTTGCCAAAGGTCCTTCAGGTACGTCTTATCTTGATATCTCATCGAAAACGGTATGTACAAGCTAACTTGTAGCCATCCATTTCGGAGTTCCAACTGATGTAGAGTCTCACTCAAGTGCATCTATCATTATTCTCGAGACCCCAAAAAAATTACATATTTTGACAGTGCAATAGTTCTTATTCATGAGGAAGTAGAAGGATTATCATATTTTCCAAAAAAACAGAAGAATAGGAATTCTCAAAATTCATATCACACATGCCAAAATGACACAGTGAAGGCCTCCTACGGGCTACGCGTGTTTGAAATGTACTAAGCTTACTTGAGGTGTTTAAGTGAAAAGTTGTGCCAACATTAGTTATCTGTCGATGTTGATACCTTCTGCTTTCTTTTAAGGGCAACTTTCACATATAGCAAACAAAAAATTCATATTTGTATGTTATAGCAAAGTTTGCATAATTGCGCTCCATAGCAAACATAAAACTGTATAATTCGCTATACAGATATCATTGTATAATTCGCTGGCCTAAATTGTATAATTTGCTGGCCTAAATTGTATAATTCGCTGGCCTATTTCGCTGCAATTGTATAATTCGCTATCCTATTTCACTGCGATTGTATAATGCACAATTGTATAATTCGCTGCCTATTTCGCTGCAATATTTTTATAAAATTTGCTTTGCATGTAGTTGAATCGAATTAAAATGTATATATATTGCATAATTATAAGTGTATAGCAAGAAGATATATGTTTTTCTCTCGCTTTATACACAAACAGAAACACAATATATACACTTCTGTTGTATAAAGCTAGAGAAAATTGTATTTCACTGCAATTGTATAATTCACAATTGTATAATTCGTTGGTCTTTTTCTCTGCAATATTTGAAGTAAAATGTTTGTAAATTGTATAATTAAGTGTATAACACGAAGATATATATTTTTGCATGTGTATATACAATTTTCTCTCGCTTTATACAAAACAGAAACAAAATTATACATTTCTGTGTATAAAGCGAGAGAGGCGAGCGAGAATGGAGAGTGGCGAGTGAGATTTTTGGGAGAGAGACGCTGACAAATTTTAGCTAACGTTTGCTATGGAGCACAATTAAATTAAACCCTAGCTATTCCATTTATTTTAGGTTATTAGTTTGCTATTATATACAATTTTCCCTACTTTTAATTATTTCATCAAATAACAAGGAACATCTATGGTTGTCTCAATATGTTAGTGGTTGTACCTTTTTTTTTCCAATGACAAAAGACTTGCATTTCTTTTGTATTGTGTTCATATCCTAGTTAGTTTCACCCTCATCCAATGACATTTGTAACCAGCCTGCTCGGTTTTCGGGTTTTAGACTAGATTAATTTGAGAGTAATTTAGAGATGAAATCGATAGACATAGATTAAGGTGTAATGTTGACAAATCTATCCTAATATAAACATTAATGACTGTTCAAACCATGACCAATAGATCACATAAACCACAACTTTATTATTTTATCTCTACAAGAATCAATCTTGTAGTGCTTCCAACACTAGCACAATACTAGATTGGTGAAAATTAGACATTTACATTTGACAAGACCAAAGCAATATCAATAAACAAAAATAATTGCAAAGTGAACAAACTCTCCATTCCCATAAATTCAATACTCAGGGACTGGAAGGTCCTCATCTGAAGGCGGTGCCAAAATCCACTCTCCATTTTTATCAAAAACCATTCCTCTATTCTTCTCAATCCACCACGACCCTGGAATCAAGTAGTCATCTTTCAAAAATGACGATGACTTGTTCACCAAAGCTACACTCCTCTTCACTTTCAACTCAAACTTCTTATCTTCCCCGTTCCATCCCGCCACAACATGTAACATCCCCTGCAAGTTGTGCCAATCGCCCATGTCTTTTGAATCCTTTAAACTCGGAGACTTTCTGCTATCGATGACTAGCTCTATACCTGTTGAAGAATCATTAAAGTTGTAGGAAATCTTATTTATGTAGGATTTATTTTATTCATGTCTACATAAGATTGTAGTCAAATTTAACTAGTAATACTTTTATGATTCTAATTGAACAGACAGTATAAACATATGGACCTTAACCTATTCTCTTATAGCATAAAGTTAGTAGAGTGTTGATTTCTCATATGGTCACTCAACTACTATTATTTCCAAAAGTTGATTCAAATTTTTTCAACAAAGAAAGTGACTTTCTCATATAATAACTGTTAGTTGAGTGTGACGATATGAGAAATCTAGCTCAAAATTGTAATGATCTTTTCCTTCAATACCTGAATTCACATACCCAAACAGAGCACTTGGGTAAAGGGTAATGAGATCAATCTTGTTCTTAACATGTAAGATATTCAAGTTTGAGAATTTCTTGATTCTTTCATTGAATGCCTTATTCCCAACTTGTGGACTACCAAATACAATTGCAGATACTGGAATATCAACTGGCACACCATTTTCAACCACATCAAATGAAGCTAAAACAGCTAAGCTAGCACCAAGACTATGCCCTGTAAAAGTTATGCTCAAATTCTCATCTTTATACTCATTTCTTAACTTTTCAATCTTTGCTTGAAGTTGTTCTCTTGCACTTAGTCTCGTGAAAGACGACTTCGGGTTACTTGAGACGTAAATCTTAAGCCACCCATCCATTACTTTGATCTCATCCTCGTCCTCGTCCTCATCCTCATCGTTCTTGTTGTTAATGCCTTTTTGGAGAGATTTAGGATGAAGAAGAGAGTCAGCTGAATCAGGACGAGCACCTAAAACGTTGACCCATTCGTAATTCCTACTCGTGCCACGAAACACAACGTACACTTCCCTACGTCCTAGTTTACGACTGACTTCATCAGTCGTAACGGCTATATAGCCGATCCAATTAGACTCTCTGTCCCACGATTCGCGAGACAGAGAGTGGAGGAAAATGGCTTCCAGTGCACCTATTTTAGCAGTAGCATAGAGGAAGCAATATATTTTATAATCGGTAGAGGATTCTAACATGACTTTGTCGAAAAATGAACTTTTACCATAACGACTGGTGCCACAATACTTGGAATTTTGGTCATTGTTGAAAGCATCGTAAGTAGCTTGACAAAAGTCACCGCACCGGAGAATTAGACGCCGGAGAGGGAGATTTAGAGGTTGAAGGAGGCCATCCCAATCTTTGCTCCCTAAAAGTTCATGCCATGTTGCTTCTTTTTCCATTTTTGATGATAAACTAGTTAGTTGTTTGGTATAGAAGAAGAAGATAATGTAACAAGCAAGGATTTAAGAAGAAATTTGTTCTATTTTCCTCCACATGTTGTGAGATAAGAGTACATGTGAGTTTTGTTAGATGGCGGGACTGCTAGACGGAAACAGATTAAGATTTCAAGTTTATGAATTTTTATTAATAATTTAGAGATTATATAATAATAATAATAATTGAATTTGCGATCAATTTTTTTTAGTTATTTAGTAATTGTTGTGAACGTCGTAATATCTACTGAGCCATAATGCAAACGAAAACAAATTTCCCACATAATGTGTGCGTTTTGAAGGAAAAAAATGGATAAGTTGTGTGGATATGCTTACTAAATGTGAAACATGTGCCATACTATACATTAGGCTGTATATATTGAATATATACATATATTATATAAGAGTTGATGATCGATATATATATATATATAATTATACAAACAAGAGTTTGGTGATTAAAAGCACATTTAATACATTTCAATTTTTCATGTTTCATCCCTAGAACGATTCAGATGAGATCTTATCTGAATTATCATCAATTATTTTATTGAAATATCAAACAATCAATTTTTCTCTTAGGTTTATTGTGATGCACTTATATGTTTTTGACGTAATTTTTAAATTTAAGTAAGATATTTCATGTATTTTAATTTGTTTAATTCATTTTTAACTTGACACAATGTGCAAAATATATATTTAATCTTAATTTTAAATATATCATGTGATAAATTAAAATTAAAAAAATTATGAAAAAAGTCATTTTTCTAAATACGAACCAAAACAAATGTTTTCATGAAAGTAAAAGAGATAATCACAATGATCAAATTGCATCGGTTACTTTTTATTTTTCTTCTTTCCATTTTCCCAAGTTTAAGGCCTGTTTGGTCATAAATTTTTCAAATTATATTTAGGGAAAAATTTGGCAAATAGCATTTGTTCATACACTTTGTCATTTTTGACAAATATTTTTGGCAAATATCTAAAATTTTCAAATACTAATTTTTTTTCTAGTATTTGGGTCAAATCTCATTATTTAGGATTTTTTAAAAATTGAAATTTTACCTCAAAGTTTTATCATTTACAAAAACATCCTCTATAGTTGTTGCTTGCGTTGTATTACATAATTTTTTACGTTAACACCAAAGTAATGATGAAATATTCAGTGAATGTTAAATGATGATATGACTATTGATGATAATGATGAACAATCGGCTCAGGATAACAAAGTCATTTGCTTTGTATATTCTACAGAATGATGTTTGTTGCACTCACTTCAAATTATCACATTGCTCTAATGTCATGGACATTATTTATTATTGTTGTAACGAAGATTAAATTGACTTGTAATACAAACTTATGGTTAGTTTTGATAGTTTTTAAAATATATGTATATAAACCATATTTTTCTAAAAAAGTAAAATATATTTCCCAAATACTATGATCAAACAGATTGGCGGAATGCTCTCGAAACCAATTCACTTGAGTGAGACAGAGGAGAGTGGAATTTCGTGTGTAGGGGTGAAATCCCGAGATCTACGAAGGAACGCCAAAAGCGAAGGCAGCTCTCTGGTCCCTACCGACACTGAGGTGCGAAAGCATGTGGAGCGAACAGGATTAGATACCCTGGTAGTCCATGTCGTAAACGATGAATGTTCGCCCTTGGTCTATGCGGATCAGGGGCCCAGCTAACGGTGAAATTTCACTCAAATAATATTTGTTAAGAATGTTTGAAAATCTATGACAAACGCTAGCTTAACTTAGATTGGAGACACATGCCATAGTTTAAAATTAATAGTTGAGATTTAATTGATCAAAATAAAGTCCTAACCATATTTATTTATTTCTATACAATTTACCCCCAACCCTAAAAGAAAATAATTAATAAACTTAAAAATATTATAATATAAACATTACTTTTCATGAATATTACTTTCAAATAGTTAAATATAATATGATAATTTTAAAATATATGACAAAATCATAAAGATCAATGATAATTAAAGAAAGTAAAAATTCGATATATATTATGGAAAAATGGAAAAAAAGATTATAAATATATATATATATTTTGGAAAAAACTAATAAAACAAATGAGGTAGCAAATTAGCTTTTAAAATCTACCAAACTTTAAAGTGTCGCCAGCTAGCAACACTTTTGTATTTTTTAATAATCACTTTTCTCTCATCTTATTATATAAAAAAATATATATATATATTTATGTATACTTACAAGTTACAACTATAGTGCAACATGTTATTCATGCAAGCCTATTACTCTAACATTGTAACACGTACCCTTTTCTCCGCTCCTTTAAAACTAACGCCTCATCAATCGTCTCCATTACTACAATACTTTCTCTACACAACAAACACAAAAATTCTCTTAATTCTTATCATATCTTCATCTGTGTTATTTAACTATGGGTGATCGAGATCGTACTCAGTATCCCCATCAAGTTCAAGTTCATCCTTCAAGTCGTTATGAAGGTGGTATAAGTACACTTCTCCCTCAAAAGGGTCCTTCAACTAGCCAAGTTTTAGCTGTTGTTACGCTTGTTCCAGTCGGCGGTATTCTTCTTGGCCTTGCAGGACTTACTCTGCTCGGAACTATTATTGGACTTGCTGTTGCTACCCCTGTTTTTCTTCTATTTAGCCCTGTACTCGTACCTGCTGCTGTTACCGTTGCACTCGCAGTCACTGGTTTCTTAACTTCAGGTTTATTTATACTCTCTCTTTCCGAACTCTTACATCGGTGATTATCGTTGGTTAATGAAATGACTTTTGACGGTTTGATCAATCTTCTTCACTTCTGTTCAAAATCTTGAGCAAATTTTTTGGGTAATTTAACACGGTATAGTCTCATCCTATGTTAAAGATATAATTTAACATGGTATCAGAGTAGAGTCCGTCTCACCTGAGGCCTTGGGAAATGCTACCCACGGGAGGTGGGTGTTAAAAAATGACAAAAATTTCGATGGTTAATGAGAAAGAGTGGACTTTTTATAAGGATTGAACAATCCTTCTCTCTTCAAGCTCCAAGATGTGAATTAGGTCTAAAATCTAATTTTGATAGATATGTTTTGTTTTCAATTGATACGAGTATGACTCTGATTGGGTGTTGTTGTCTAATGTAGGTGCATTTGGATTGACGGGTTTATCATCGCTGTCATGGATTGTGAATTACTTCAAACAGGGAAGGACAACGATGGAGCAATTGGATTATACGAAAAGGCGAATTCAGGAGCGAGCAGCAGAAGCAGCGGCGCAAGTGGGACAGAAGACTAAGGAGACTGGACAAGCAATACAGAGCAAAGCACAAGAAACGAAAGAAAGTGCTAGGAGTGATGTTAGAGCTTAAGTAGTTTGGGGTTTCTATGTGGTGAAATATGCACTTGTATTTTATTTTTGCTTTTTGCAAGCGTTTTCTGTGTGCAGTGTTTGTTGTTAGTTTTCTTTTTTTGTAATGCGCTGTTGTTTTTTGTTATTTGTAATTTAATAATACTTAGCATTTTCTATGCTCATATTGTCCTTGGGAGTTCCTTACTTTATCAAGGTCTAAAGCATTACTCCTTTCTTTCCTTCGGTATTATTTGTTATAATTTTTATTTTTAGAAACATTTCTTAATTTCTAAAATTTTTGTTTTTCATTATTAATATATATATTGTAATTTATAATGTTTTTCTTTGAAAATATTGAATTAATGTAATTTAATTTACTTTTAAATATTAATTAAATCAATTTTTGATAAGAGTAAGATAGACACAACAATTTCCGTCATTTTGGGACGGACGGAGTATATGGAAGTAACAATATTAATGTTTATCTTACCATAAATTCAGGGTTACTGAGCCATGCGTACAATATCCACTTACTCTGTTTTTATCATTCTATTGTATGGACTAATTTTATTATTGTATCGTTATTATATCTATTAGTTTCTATCATTCTATTGTATGGACTAATTTTGTTATTGTATCGTTATTATATCTATTAGTTTTTATCATTCTATCATTCTATTGTATCGGTATTGTATCTTTACTATGTCTATGTCTACGATGTTTGTCTATGTTTTGATTGTATTCCATTGTTATGTGGCAAAGGAAATTCCGATTATATGGAAATGGTGTGTTTCCATTTTTAGTTTCTTTTTTTAAAATGTTTCAAAACATTAATTTATGTTTTACCTTATATTATTTTATAATTTTAATAAATTTATAAATTATATTTCAAAATATATTAATTTACACTTTACCTTGTATTATTGTATAATTCAATAAATTTATAAATTATAATATATTAACAAACACAGTCAAATCAAACAATTAAAATTTTATTGAGCAGCAAATAATAATACAGTTTACACAGAGTATTAAATTTTAAAAATATTCTGTGAATAAATTTAGTTATTTAGTATATTTTTTCTATAGTATAGAATTAAAATTGGAGTTCTGTCTGGCTTTTTTTTTTTTTTTTGCAAAAAATATATTTATATTTGAATGTACTTTTGAAAAATGTCGTTTGTACTTCCAAATTTATAAAAACTGGAAAAATCACCTAAAACAGACGACCAGATTTATTTTGAAAAATAAATAGATAATTTAAGATAATATCAGTTACTATACGGTATTACAAACTTCTTTCATTTTATTTGAAAATTTTGAAGTTAAAAAGACTTGAAAAATGAAATTAAAGTTGTGTTTTGGTAGGTTTTTCAAACTATTTCTTAAAAATTATGAAATATAATTTAAATAAGATCACTTTGAAATAAATAAATAAAATTATGATGAAAATGAAAGCAAAAATATACAATACATTTAAATTCCAAAGCCAATCGAAAATTTGTATACTCAAATTTTTAATCTTTCGAAAATAAATAAATATACTCATTTGTATTTAATCTTTGGTACCCATAAAAAGTAGAGGAAAATGTTCATGTAATAAAACAAAGAGTACAACACAAAATAGCATAAACTTAAAGCTCATTCCGAAAATACCCCTACGTTCAGAATTAAGCAACACAGCGCATACACAACACATATATATACAGTTAAATCAAATTAGGGTTTCTCTCACTCTTCTCTTCTTCCTCTCTCTGTGTGTGAACCCTAAACTCCTGCCGCCATGGTAGCTCTCTATGCCTTCCATTTTCGATGAATTTTGTTGCTTTTTTACATATGAATATTTGAAATCTAATGTAATCTCTGTGTATTTTTTTTTTTGTGATTAGGCTTCAGAGAAGAAATTGAGCAATCCAATGAGGGATATCAAAGTCCAGAAGCTCGTACTCAATATCTCCGTTGGTGAAAGTGGAGATCGTCTCACCAGAGCTGCAAAGGTGTGAATCCCTAATTTGCTGCAAAAGATGAATTAGTATTAGAATGAAATGAATCTGAGTAAGATTTGGATTAGTTTTAGAATTGAAGTGTAGATAGCTAATTGAATGTGTGATTTATTGTATTTTAGGTATTGGAGCAACTCAGTGGCCAAAGTCCTGTTTTCTCCAAAGGTATGCTTTTGAATTGCATTCTTTATTTATTTTGTATGTTATGACTGGTTTCAGTTCCTTATGCACATTTTATCGAACATGATTTTCGGTTCTTCGAGCTTTATTTGTGTCAAAGATTGAATATTTGCTTATATATGGAGTCTCACTATTGGTGTTTGAGCTGTTTGATTTTGGTGATTTGTTGAAGTTTGGATTTAATTTGTTTTTGTAGGAATATAGATAACGAGCTGAAGGTGTTACTCAACTAGGGAAAAAAGAGAGTTTCTAAGTAATGTGGATTTAGTACGAACTTATGAGTGCTCTTAATTTGTCAATTTTGTGTAACAATTTGAAATAATTGGAACTTGCTTAACTTGGTGCTACAAGTTATGCATATAATTCCTCATTTGTATTACATTGATATGGGGTACTTTGTACTTATGTTTAATGCAATTATTCATGAAATGTATGGTTTGGTGTTGTTTGTCTTTTAACTTGTTACACATTATCTTATTTTGCATTGGTTGCTGTTTCATGTTTTCATGTGCTTTCTTTATTCCCATTGACAGCTAGGTATACTGTCCGTTCCTTTGGAATCAGACGTAATGAAAAGATCGCCTGTTACGTCACTGTCAGAGGGGAAAAAGCTATGCAGCTCCTTGAGAGTGGATTGAAGGTCAAGGAGTATGAGTTGTTGAGAAGGAACTTCAGTGAAACTGGATGCTTTGGATTTGGTATTCAGGAGCACATTGATCTTGGAATCAAGTAAGCATGTTACTGAGATCTTGCTTTGATTCGTTATTCGGACTACTTCTTAATCCTACATATTTATCTTAGGAGGTGCTGCTAGCTTTTATTATGCCAAAACAATTACTCATGCGCGTTCACATATTTACCGGTTGATCATCTTCTAGAAGTGTAGTTGCTTCTTCCATGAGTTTACATGGAATAGATGTTACTATATGAGGTTATATCAGCTGGTCATGATAGTATCTTCGGATTGTTGTGCTCTTATAAATCATTTGACATACTATTCCTTTGTGTTAAAGGTATGATCCTTCAACTGGTATCTATGGTATGGATTTCTATGTTGTCCTGGAACGCCCAGGATACCGCGTTGCTAGACGTCGTAGGTGCAAGTCTCGGGTTGGGATCCAACACAGGGTCACAAAGGAGGACTCAATGAAGTGGTTTCAGGTCAAATATGAAGGTGTTATCCTTAACAAGTCCTCAAACATCCAGTAAGTCGAGAGCCGACTGCTGGATCAGTTTATCTGACAGCAAGTTTTTTGTTTATGCATTTTGTAGACCGAAGTCTAGTTACTTCTAGAATTGAATAGTTTTCAAGAGTTGCTGTTATTTGGCACAGTATGCTTGTTTTCATTTTTGGTTTATGAGACCAATTCAATCTTTAATATAATCCTTTTTGTGTTAGTTTGTTGTGCAATTCTATAAGAAGCAGAAAACATCAGTTTTTCTCAAGTCTGAACTAATCAAACTAATAAAAATATTATAGTTGTATTTTTTTCCCATTTATTTTATGGTATATATTGCTACATTGACTTTACTAAACATACTATATGAGATATTTTCTCTAGTCAAAGTGTATAATTGGCTACCCACCTCTTATCTTAGAGATTTGCTTAGTTAATTATCAAATTTGAATTGGACTAGTTGGAATATTGTGATTATCAACTAATAAAAAATTACTTTTCTAGTGCCCTGGTTGTTGAGGCAGCAAATAATTTACATTTTTATATACTCAAATGGTAATTTAATTTGCTTATAATAACGTCACCAAATCTTTTTCTTAGTGGTATTCCTTGTAAGTTGCTCGTTTATCCCTTTCACATTTTTGGATTATTGGGGGGTTGCTTCAATTATAATAATATGTGAGCTTCAAACCAAAATCTTGCAAAGTGCTTGTTGACCATCTATAAAAGTTTCAATATTTGAAGAGTAATAAATTAAGAGTGATGACTTGGACATAATCAGTTAAATTATATTAATGATATATACTCCAGTATCAATGTATTTATCTTAATTTTATACAGGACAGAAGTTGATATTTTACCGTCGTTCAATTGTTGATATGAATAATTCATTTATGTCCTAATATAATACATCAATTTCAAGAAATTCAAGAATCATCAAACCTTAATGATGTTTGTGTGTGTAAATAAAGTCTCGTATGAAAATAGAAAACAAAAAGAAACACTCCATGAGGTCTTTCGAAGAAATTGTATGAGTGAACGTAGTTCAAAGCTGGCAATATCATTAATCATACTATGTTAAGAGTATTGTTGAGCCACTTTGACCGAACAACTCGTATCAGGACTAAAACAAATAGTAGGCCAAAAGTAGTCGATTGAACAATGATGGGACAATATATGTAGTTCAAGAGGGAGATTTTATGAACAAAGTTCTACGTGAGAAATAGATTTAAAACAAATAATATTTCATCAGGTTAAGAGTATTTTTAAAATTTGAAATGTCCGAATAACAACGGTCATTCAACTTTGAACTTTGAGGTATTTTCACAAGTAATCATCAAGATACAAGACATCAGAAACACCTGAGGGTAAGTCCGATCAGTGAAGTAGGCAGAGAACCACAATTCATCATGTTCAAATTCCAACAAAGACATAAAATATAATACATAAACATGACTCTTAACTTGGTTTTAGCGAACAACCTCCTACTCTGAATATATACACAGGTAGACACTTAAAACTTATATAAAATTGAACAAGTAGACACAAGTGTCTTACATGACACAATATACGTAGAACGCCATGTAGGACACGAAATTGCCACGTAGGGTATTATGTAGGACGAATGTGTTCATTTTCTCAATTTTATACAAGTTTTAGTGTCTAATTGTGCACATCTAAAGTTTAAGATCATAGTTGCCGAATCGCATCAAATTAAGAGTCATATTTATGCATATGCCAAGACAAAAATACTAAGTGATTTCTTTCTACTTCTCCTAGCCTTGTTGGACAGAACTAACGATTGTTGATGAGAGGTGAATAATATCCTCAAGGTGCACGAAAGCTAACCACAGACACCACGGTTACTAAAAGAAAAAGAAAAATGCAAGACATGAGTAGTCTGTAGAATCTTTGCACAAGAAGAATTAAGCTATATTTTTACAGTTGCAACAAGCCCAATTAGGCCACAAAATGTGTACCAAACTACAAACAAACAAAGAAGCAAATGATGAAATCATAGAAAAGAAGCACAAACAATGTTTATGTTTTTTTTTTCATTTGAAAGTTGATGCAACAGTTTGAGCCCAAAATCTAAGATTATGTTTCATATTCATATCATTTTTCATAGCTGGAAATCTCCATTTCAACAATTTTTTACTCATTTTTCTTTTTTCAAGAATCTCCCATGCTTCAGAAAGATAAGGCCTTTTATGAACAATATCTTTTTTTTTAACATTTTCATCAACAATTCCCCATTTCTCCAATCCAGGAACAATTCTAACCAAACTTGAATTCTTATCTTCTTCACTAAACTCAAATCCTAAATCCATAAACCCCTTTAATTCCTCAAGTTCAAGCTCTGATGAGCTTCTTCGAATTCGCATAATTCCCTTGACTCCATTTCTAGCCTTTACTTTTACTTCTTGTGCAACTCTGTTATGTGTGATAATAACAGAAGTTGGAGAGTTCCCAAGTTGACTAAAACTCGGACTTGTATTCGATCCTTCAAAAATATTCTGCTTTTGAATGATCTGACATACATCTGACGATATTTTTAAAGAACAATCACTTTGTGATCGACCTAAGAGATTTGATGATTCTTGAATTTCATGAGGATTTTCTTGAAATAATTTCTTGAATTTATGTGTGTTGGAAAATAATATTTCTTGTTCAAACCAATAAGTATCAAAGAGCTTGAGGAGTAGTACTTCTTCAGCAGCCATATATTAATTGTGCATTAGAAAACAGAAATTTTGTTGTTTTTTTTTTCTAAGCAAATCTTGGAAGTTATATATATGGTATGGTATATATATAATATTTTTATTGAATATTGAGGATGTTATTGGAATATAATCATGTATTATTCGAATCTTATTATTAAAAAAAAAAAGGGTCCACATTAATTCTCCTCTAGAAGACTCTTAATATTTTCTTTTTATGTGCTAAGCACCATTGGCTCTTCAAATTATTGTTGTGTTAGTTGGAAAATCAAGTCAACTCCAATGGCCTAACATTTTTCTTTTTAAGTGTTACTGGTAAAAGATATATTTAAACTATCACTTTTTACGAGTTTTATATGTTAATTATCAATTTTTTCTTTACCTACCTGAATTTTTACTTCTTTTGTATAAAAATTTAAAACATACTTCAATGTTGGTCAAATGTTAGTTTCACTTGGTAATATGTATGTATAAGTCAACTCATCATTTTATTGGTGCCTTAATGTGGGGTTGAATGATAGATTATGCAGTCTGATTAGATAATATGCATTTGCTTAAACTAAATTATGTGAATCATTAATATCTTGGTCTTACTATTATAAGATTTATATAGTCTTGAAAAGAAGCTAGCATAATGTAGCATATTCCAAATTGAATAGTTTAAGGCATACAACTTGCACAGACGAACGTTCACTTCTCTAAATCATTAATTTTAGAGATAGCGATTAAAAATATATTTAAACTATTATTTTTTTTTAATGATTTTTATATTTTAATTATCAGTAGTTTTCTTTTTTTTATTTGAATCATCATTATATATACATTAAAAAACACCTAACTGAGTAGATGATGATAATTCAAGTAGAAAAAAGAAATAATTATTAGTTGAGCTAATGTGTTTGACATAGCTGATAATAGTTCTTAAAATGTGGAATTCATGAACATTATTGATAAACTTTTCAATTTTATTGGAACTTTTTTTTTTAAACAATAATCTTACCTCTTCATTTTTCTAATTTTGTAATTCTAAGGTTATATATTTTATAAGAATTTTACTAGTTGTGAAATATAAAACACGTTTAGATGTGAAATATAAAACACTTTTAGATAATTGATTGATGTTTGAAAAAAAATAAAATAGTGTTGAAGTTACGTACAAATAGGGTATTTGAAAAGTGAATTTGTATTTTGAATGAAAACACAATTCAAAAAACTTGAAAATTTCTAAGAAAATGTTAGACTAATTTGATAAACAAACTCGTTTGAGTATAAATTATGAACTTGAAATTTAAAAATTTGAGTTTCTGAAATTATATTTTGAAATTTGAAATTATATTTTGACATATACTTCACTTAAAAAAAACAATAAAAATTTTATAAGTGAAAAACTCAAAAATCCAAAAACTGTTTATGGATTAGTTTTTGGGAACTTTCAATATCTAGTGTCACATACTTTCTTATTTAATATCCAATATTATTTCAAATTTTGGAAATGTTCACTATAGCAAATATTTTTTTTCGCAGTAATAATATAATTGCTATTATATTATATAATCATCAATAAACACTCTATATAAATGTTATTAAGCATTTTAGTAACATCAAATATAATAATATTAATTAATTAACTCAATTACTGCTAAAATATTCTTTAGACATAAAAAGAAAATCTATTACAATTAAAGTATCTTGTAGTAAGGATGTATGGACAAACTTTGCTTTAGTTATTGATGATAAGTACATTTTTTTGTTAATTTGGTTGGTAGTGACACTAAATAATCAATTTTTAAAAATGAGATAGAGGTGAATACAATGGATTTGACAAATAAGTAGGACATGCATTTTTGGATATTTATGTGATTTTATTATCACTTGATGTGGATGTCATTAGGAAATTAATGTGTATTTTCCTAGCAAATTCATGTTCTTTTCCATCTTAATGTCAAATCAATCTTCTTTAATCACTTTTAAAAAATGTTAGGCAGAGAGGCAAAAGGAGAAGCTCAAATACAATTTCGATCCAATAAATTTATCAATTTGCACATATTGATTCTTAAATTTATCGTTTTAAAATTCAAAATTTTAATTTCACTTTCGGTGTTAGAATAAAAATTTTAGCTAAAGTGATTCAAAATATATTAAAAAAATAAATAAACACCATTTTTTTTAAACATTTAGTGTATATACATAATAAATAATTTTTCTACGAAAGAAATTTGAATGAACCCCTTGCGCTCCTAGCTCTGCTCTAATTAAATACGTTTATTTCACACACGTACTTTGCTTTAACAAATTCAATGGTTTCGGCAGTGTATACATACTCTCTTTTTTTCTTTTCAGTTTTTTGTTCAGTTATCGATATCTGTATTGAGATCGGACTAAATTCGAATTGCACAAGACTCATTTTGGAAGCAACAAAAACAATATGATTTTTTCCATTCTTAAATTTCCAATTCAAAACTTTTAATTAAGGTCGAAGAAACTTCAATCATTCTCCCGCAACCGAGTGTATACAGATTCTAATAAGACCAACAAAATCTTTAGGCTCTCTCATTTGCACGTTTCATGTTACTCCATATACATAGTA